AGCTTGCTTGGATAAAGCTTGGAATGTTTCCTGCCTGAATGTTCCAAGATCCATCAATAAATGTGCAGACTGGTTAGCAAAATATGGTTTGAGTAGAGAATTTGGTCTTCATGTTCTCCTTTCTCCAAATCAGGAGCTGTGTTCTCTTATTGCAGCTGATACCTGGGACCCTGGATTAGCACCTTCTGCTAGTCTCAGTGTTCCTCGGACTTTTTTCCCTTTTAGTTAAGCTTTGCTTTGTTTGGGCATTGGCCCTCTATGTACCCAAAAAAAAAAAAAGTTGCATTGGTTTGGCATCACTATAATTTAAAACAGTTAGCCACTAGCTTGGTTATAATCCTATAGATTACATTACATACACTAATGGGTCTAAAAATGTGCAAAAATAACTATCATTTTTATTATAATAACCCGAATAATTCAATGGCATTAATTAGGGACTAAGGTATAATTATAAGGTTTATTAGATGGAAAATTTAATTTGAGCTAAGTCCTATTATAGGACACACTACACCTAAGCTCACTTAGCCAAAATGTTAACTAAGTAATTAAATGGTTCGTTTGTAAAAGAGAGAAAGAGCTAGAGGTAAAATGGTCATTTCTTTGATTAAGATGTTTCTAATATCAAATCTACTTTTCTCCCTCTTCATCTTTTCCATTTCCTATTCACCATATACAGTTCTTTCTCCTTTTCTCTCTATGAAGAAAACTCAACAAGCCACCATGGAAGGAGACTTCTCCCTTCATCTTCTTGGTTTACTCTCCACACCCACCCCACTTAGAAACTAAAACCCGCTAACCATTCCTTAACCTTGAAGTCTTAGAAGATTAGAAATCCACTTTCCTCTTGGATATTTCTTGGAGGTGCCATTTACAAAGGAAGGGATTTTCCTTCATTAAAGCTTGAAATTCTACCTTTCCTCAAGTTCTAAAGTGTTAGACGTAAGGGTTAATGGTCCTCTTTTAATTTCCTTATGTTTTCATGATAACTCCATGATTTAGGGTTGTAAAATTGAGGGGTTTTGGTGTTTTGGATTAAGGGTGTTATGTTTGATGCTTGAATCTTATGATTATGATGTAGGAGTGTTGAAAGTAATAGAGGTTTTGTATCGGAATAACCCTAGGAGCCCTCCCTCAACTAGGGTTCCAATCTTGATATTTCAAGAATTAGGAGTAAGTAAACCACTCTTTGTATTGATGTATTTGAATATTGGTTGATAAATCCATGTATTGAACATGTTATTGAATGGTTAAATTACATGGAAATAGGTTGTTTGTTGGTGACCATTGGAGCAAAATAAAGTTCTGGAACTAAACTCAAGAAAAGGTAAACTTTTAGATCTTGAGATTAATCCCACTCATTATTCCACAATACCCTTTGTTGCGATAATGGTTATTGTTTGAATGATTAAGTGGATTGTTAGAGTATGGTATACTGTGCATTCATATAGAGTCATTGTTTGTTGGTGTGTGATCTAATAAACAAGCAGTAGAGGTTGGATGTGTGATATGATGTGCTTACGTGTATAGCCATGTAATCATGAGTTGATTGGTTGAGGCTTTGGTCAAAATAATATAGTATGGACTTTCCTTTTGAGGGATGTATCCAAAGAGGTTTCACTCTTAGGAGTTCCATATGAATGCTCATTTGATGTACGATTCATTGAGTGATCTTAGTGTACTAGGTACACATAGGGCATTCATGCATAGGTAGGTTCATTGGCCAAAAGAATATGATATGGGTTTCCCTTTGGGGAATTATCCTAAGAGGTCAAACTTTTGGAAGTACCACATGGACACTTGTTTGAGTGACAATTCAATAAGTGGTCCTTGTACACTGGGTGTACGGACGAATCAACTCTATGTTACCTCATTATATAATGTTATATCATACCATGTTATTATAACCTTTCATACAGACAAGTAAACTTAAGGGTATAGTAATCTCTAAAGGCTCTTAGTTTATTGAGATTCATCTCTCACCCCTTTCGGGAATATGTTTTAGGTTTTCATGAAGGAGGGATAGGTCCGTCTCGAGGGAAACAACATGCTTAGCCCTGAGGCTAATTATATAGCTTTATGGTGATATGCCATTTTGTGATTTTACATGTAAATCTTTTGGGGGTATAGTTATTGTAAAACTATTCTTTTGGGGAAAGGCTTGTAGATATTCTGATGACTTGTAGTACAAGCTAATATTGATGAATGTTATGGATTGAATGCATGGATGATATCTTTTGGGATGTAATGTACTTGAAACCAAGGATGCGTATCTTGTATATGCTCAACATATGATGAATCTTTGTATAAATCATTTGGAATGAGTATGTAGTGATTGGTTTGCTTCTATAGTTGGTAACATGGTCAATTAGGTGGTGGGAGTTGAGATGATGACCTAGGATGGAGTTTAGGGCACACAAAAGGAAGCCACACGTGCTTTGGACTTGCTCATTATAGCGAGTAGAATTGGAAGAAAAACTTGTTCTGGACTTGCTCGCTATAATGAGCATTTCAGCTAGCAGAGCTAGAAAAAAGACTTGCTCTGGACTTGCTCACTAGAGCGAGCATTTTTAGCGAGCATAATGAATCTTTGCTCTATCTCAACATAGCATAGTAAAAGAAGTATATCTTGAGTTAGAGAGCTCCAAATTGAGTGAGACTTGAACCTATGTAAAGCTAACTCAAAGACTATGTAAAATCTTAGGACTCATGTCAGTTCTGTTTTGAGATTGCTGCCCTATTTTCGGAAGTCCGCTTTAAAGCAGTTGACTTGTGAAACTTGAGATGTACAAATCCAATTGAAGCATAAAATATGTATTTAGGAAGCTTGAGAGGTCTAATTTATCATATTAAAATATTAGAACTGATGGTAAAGCCATGAAATCCCAAATTTTAGACTAATAATGATTGTTTAGAACTTAGTATAATGGTAGAGTTCGTTTCTTTTATCTGTTCTCCAGTAGGAAGACTTGTGCACTCTTTTGTGCTATTAATTGATGTTTTTAGGATATAGGACTTTAAAGGAGTTAGATAAACATCTCCCGCCATAATTTAGGGTCATAACATGTATACCTATAGCTAAAAGGGATGATAAAGTTCTAATCAATGGAAAAAAGGAATTGAATAAGTGTCTATGTGAACCATATAGAGTATGAATAAGTTAAGTTGAGTTTAATATCATGATGAGGAACGGAAAAAATTAACTCACACTTTTATATTTAGTTAAATGGCCAAGTTACAAGTGTAAGTAACAAATTAAAAGTAATTTTCTTAATGATTTCTTAATTCTAACTGCGCTTAATATCAAAAATAAATTAACATACCAAGTGCACACGGGGTATTACATTTACCACCGAGGGATTGAAAACAAATCCAACTTTTCCTAAGTCAATAATCTTTTTCCAAATCCATTCCAATCCATCTTTGGAAATAGGTTTCCACACGTAATTAGATTTCCTCTTAAGGCCAAGGAGTGGAAACTCCAGCTCCAAAAGTGTCACAACCTCATATGCTCCAAGAAACAAAGTCACAACCGAGGCTTTCACAGTTTTCTTCCCCTTCACAACCTTGAAACTCACTGGTAGCAAAAGCAGCCTCATGGCATTCACTAATGCGTGTCAGGCACGTTTTCAGCCTCAAAAGTAGCCTAAAAAAACAATAGGAACTGAAATCAATTTAACTTTTTATGATGATAAGACTATAAAATGTGGATATAGACGCGGAAGATATTAATGTGCGTCTTTGGGAGTTTTAGGCTTTAAATGCACTACAATGACGTGACGTGCACATCTCCGTGCGTTGCCACATAAAACATGACTCTCAAGGATAATTTTTTTTTTTCGAAAAAAACTAATTTTCGGAAATATGGTGAGGAATTTTTTTTCCTGGGTAAGTTACTAAAAGGTGTTTGATAAGCCAATTTTTTTTTCGAAAATATTGGATTAATTTTACTGATGCTATGTGATAATTTTTTCACCCTATCAATGGCAATCTTCTATGACAATTCTATGTGGAAAAGCAAATGATGGAATTTTTTTTTTATCCCGGAATACGATTTTCAGGAATATGATGAGAAAATGAGTTTTCTGAGAATGTTACCAAAAAGTTGTTTGGTAGACTAACATATTCCTAGGAATAGTGGGTTAATTTTTTTGATGTTATATTTAGTTGTATTAAATTTTTCCTTGCCATAGAAATCTTAAAATACCACCTCCTGGATGGTATTCTTAGATGGTTTTTTCAAAAAAATTTACACACAAAATAAAATTCCGGAAAAATTTTAAAAATCTTGTACCAAACGTGGATAAATAAGATTATCACTTTCAGTTTCCTGAAAATTTTAAAAAAACCCTTGTACCAAACGGCTCTTACTTCTATCAAATATGGGTAAATGATTTTTTCTACTCCACTTTCTTGGAAATTTTTTTTTTACCTCTTACCAAACACACCTTATAAGATTTTAACGCACGTTGTCAGAATATGCGAATTGTACTACATTGATAAATAATTTGTTAAAAAACTCAAATCTGAAAATAGTTTTGAAATTTGATTAAAAAAATCAAAGGCTTCCTAATTGGGTATTGATATCTGTCTCTGCACGCTTACTCTAAGTAAGCAAATTTGGACGACGTGTTCGACGCGCGTGTTCACTTCGTTCAGAAAGATACGACATCACGTTGCCGACGAACCTCTTGATGCTTCTATAATTTATTTTTTTTGATATAAATATTCGCGTCCTTAGTCTTAGCGAGTAAGGAAACTTGGACGGCCTGTTCGCTCGGTTACACGTGTCTTAGTCCCTATAATGCCACATGTCAGTGCTTTCCTACTGTTACGGCGTTAAACTACAGGAATCCGATTCGTATCCAGATTCTTCCGGTCACATCCACACAAGAATCTTCGAAAATTACATATTCATTAAAAATAATTTCATTTTTATAACTGAGTGCGCCAAAAAAAGAAATAAAACGAATTCAATTGAATGCTCTTTCGTTTTTTTTTTTTCATAATATTTTCTTTTCTTCCCCAAAATTAAAAAAAAAAAAAGCTACGTTCTGTTGGGATTTGCTTTTTTCTTTTTATTTCAGTTTTCGCTCCATCTTCGACTATAAATTTCTCTCTCGATCCACTAGGGTTTGTTCCTTCCCATTGGGTCGATCTCGATCTCGCTGGCGCAACCGCAACTGTAAGCTAGTTTTGTTTATTTCATAATAATTTAATTTTGTTTTATGCTATAGCTGATTGATTGGGGATGGGGAACGTGTCTGTTTGTTTTAAAATGTAGCATTTTAGTTTTAAATAAATGTCATTTAATTTATTTACTTTTTTTAAATTTATTATAATAATCGATGAGGATCAAGGACACGCATAGTTACCACAATAGGTTAGAAAATTGTTTTTCTATTATTTAATTTATATTGTTTTGGGTGCAGGTGCTCTGCATGCTTGCGTTCATATACCCTTACCGGGGCTGGGAAGTTTGAAGTTTGTTAAGCAAACAGAGAATAACAGAAGATGCTTTGGAGAAAAATTGGGGATGATGAATGGCTTTCTTGTTTCTTGTTCAATATGTTTCTCGAGAGAAGCAAGGTCGAGTGGTTATGTATTGCACAGCATGACATGTCATTGCCTATATATGAGTATTTTTTGAAGAATGAGACTTATGGGGTATGATTTCATGATTTTGTTTATACACACTTGAGGTTTATGATCTTATTTAGGCATTTATAGACCAAGCAAGTTCTATTGCCAATACAGTTGCAGCTTTTAGGATTATATAGTTGAGGAATGGATGATGAAGGAGATTTCGAGTTGTTACTTAACAGTTGGAATACCAAGAATCCAACTGATCGGCTTTTCATTATGTCTTGCTTCATAGCTGCCCTTGTTGGAATTTTGACCATAGCTTACACGGCCTTTCAGTGGAGGAGGAACATCAATCTAAGTTGGACAAAAGCCATAGCTAGGTCTAAGAAAAACCCAAAAGCAAGGCACGAAGCTCCTGTGGCTCCTCATACTTGGAGTCTAGAATCGGTATGTCGTGCAAAGAATTTAAGCTGCTGTGTATGCTTTAAGTCCATGTCACCCTCTCAAACTCTAGGGCCTATAGTAGCTTCTGACAGTTTTATCCACCGTTGCTGTATTTGTGGTGCAGTAGCTCATTTAAGCTGTTCTTCTAGTGCCCACAAGGACTGTAAGTGTGTTTCTATGATTGGATATGAGCATGTCATGCATCAATGGGCTGTTTGTTGGACAGATGTAGCTGATCAACCCGATGAAACCACTTTCTGTAGTCACTGTGAAGAGCCATGTGGTGGGACGTTCCTTACTGGTTCCCCAATATGGTCTTGCTTGTGGTGCCAGCGTTTTGTACATGTTGATTGTCACAATACAATGTCTAATGAAACGGGTGATATATGTGATTTGGGCCCCTTAAAAAGATTGATACTATCACCACTGTATGTGAAGGAATTGAACAAGCCCTTGCCCGGTGGATTTTTGAGTTCAATTACTCATGGGGCAAATGAGATAGCATCTTCAGTTCGGGCTAGTATTAGGAACAAGAGCAAAAAGTACAAGCATGGAAATGAACCATCGTTTGCATCTGGGAGTAATGAGAGCATTGATGAAATATCCACAGAAAGCACTAGTGATACTCATCAAGTAGTTAATGGTCATCTTGAAACGGAGGAGCAAAATAGTGTTGGCATGAATAAGGAGGTTCGACATCAAGATGGTGAAGCAGATAAAAAGATGGAAAGAAAACCCAGTCTTAAACGCAATTCATCAATCAATCAGAAGGATGAGTCCCATGTTTTAGGAGTGAAACAGATATATGAGTTGATCGATGTACCTCCAGATGCAAGACCATTGTTAGTTTTTATAAACAAGAAGAGTGGTGCCCAGCGTGGAGACTCACTTAGGCTGCGTCTGAATATTCTTCTAAATCCTGTTCAGGTTTGTTACTCTGCCACACATTACAATGCATGGTATCATTTGAATATATATATTTTTTGTTGCTTCCAATTTTCTTTAATGCATTGTTTATAAGATTCATGGTTTGGGGCTGAGTTAACCAATAAGACACAACTATCCATCAAGCACTCATCTCTTTTTATGAAATTACCTAAACCTCACAAGATTACATAGTAGTTCATCATCTTCTAGTGATATACATGAAAGACTCATGAAAATTGCTAAAATAGTTCTCTTGCTTGTTGTAAATACTTATTGACAATGTGATTATCAAACCTTTCTTTGTTTTATTTAGGTGTTTGAATTAAGCTCATCACAGGGGCCAGAGATGGGACTTTATTTGTTTAGAAAGGTGCCTCACTTCAGAGTTCTTATATGCGGGGGAGATGGTACTGTTGGTTGGGTTTTGAATGCAATAGACAAGCATAATTTTGTTTCCCCTCCCCCAGTTGCTATTCTTCCCGCTGGTACAGGAAATGATCTTGCTAGAGTTCTCTCTTGGGGAGGTGGCTTGGGTCCAGTGGAGAGGCAAGGGGGTCTTAGCACATTTCTGCATCACATAGAACATGCTGCGGTTACTATTCTTGACCGCTGGAAGGTAACAATTAGTAATCCACAAGGAAAGCAACAGCTCCACCCACCAAAGTTTATGAACAACTATCTTGGTATGTGAATGCATTTTTCTCATGATTAATGTAAATTTCATAAAAGTGTGTAGGTTTAAACATCTGGTAAGTCGGCTTGCTGCCTGGTAAACTTTAAGAAGCACACACACATAGAGCACTAGTTTCTGTTTGGGTGGGGGATAGGGGGTTGGTGGGTTATAGATGGAGAGTCAGGTGCCTTTAGGAGTCTGGATCTTGATGTCATGGTCTGGCACTCTACTAGTTTGACTAGTTTGATGTAAAGTTGGTTGAGGCAAGTTGAAGAGTTGATTTGTTCATAGTTATCAAATGCGGATTGCGGCATGTCGCGGCGAACCCCGAAAAACACTATAGCGTTATAGCGGGTTGCGGTTGCGGAAATAGCGGAATAGATATATGACAGAAATAATGACAAAAAGAAACAATTTTTAAAGGCAGAGATAGCAGAAGTGACAGAGAGAGACGCAGATAGACTAAAAAACCCTTAAATTTTTCTGTTACACTTAAATTTAGGACAAAATTGACATTTTGCCTTATGACAGCAATATGGCCGCAAATGTGATCGGAATGGTCGCTATTGCGTTCCGATGCGGCGCGACGCGGTTTCTTGCGGAGAGGCACCGCAACGCCCATACGGCTCGGCTTGCGGCGCTATTAACTACTATGGATTTGTTTGTATTGATTTTTGCATTAATATGGTAAACTTACTTTATCCTGTCAAGTACTCAAGTCTGATTCTATTGACATTGTGTTGTTAAGAAATATATTAAAACTATTCATGTGCCTCCTCCTAATGACTTAAGCTATTTGGAGAGTTGGTTGCATGATGTGATATTAGAGCCTCTGTGACTAAGTGGTTCAGAGTTTGATCCTTGGCGCTCCTCATTCTTCTAATAATTTTTTAATAAATATTGTGGAATTTTTTAGCACAAGTAGGTGGGCCTTTGTAATGTTCATCCTTCAAGCCTAATGTGCTCGTGTAAGCGGGCATGTTAGGAATATAATATAAAATATAAAACCATTTATCTGTCTTCACATAACAGTTTAAGCTTTTGGGAGAGTTGGTTGCATGACGGTGTTGGATAGTTGAAGTGAAGCTTAGCATATATCTTTCAAGTATTCAACTACAAATTCATCTGTGTTCTCATGGATTTACTTGAATTATAATCAGTTGCAATTCTTCATCAGCCTTTGATTCTGAGTACTTAATTAGATATCATCTGTATAGCCCCTGTTTTTTGTTACATTACTTCATCTGCTAGTTATCAAGTCATGAATATCTCTTGCATAACTTTTGATTAGTTCTGAATCTAACAACTTTTTGGTTTTAGGAATTGGTTGTGATGCAAAGGTTGCTTTGGACATTCATAATCTGCGAGAAGAGAATCCAGATAAGTTTTATAACCAGGTATTTACTGTCTAAATCGAATTGGTTTTTGAATTGCTTGGCATTTTGAAGCTTCAATTTAAGCAAGACGGGAAGTTTAAAATAGGAGGCTGGTTGTGTGGTATAAAATTATTATTATTATTATTAATTTTGTTGGATGGGTATGTGGTTTAAGATTGCTTCCTCTTTCAGTGGAAACTTAATTACATTGGATTAGTTTTAGCATAATGTTAAAATTGACTCTTGGCTTAAGACATAATATTGAGAAAGGTATATGCTGTTAAATGACCTATTTTGTTAATTATCATTTACTAGGATCTGGGACTACTCTAAGGAAAATCTTATAAGCAGGCTAAGATTATGTAGTTGCTATACTGGGTTGAATCTAGTGACATTTTGTTGAGCTTGTCAAGCAATGATTTTGAGCCATTTGACCTCCTTGCATGTAATGAATGATCTTTCCTTTGAAGTTTGTTGTATTCACACTTAGAACATTATCTGACACATTTGCATGAACTGGTGGTCACGTGAATTTTATCATTCAGAACCTTGAAGTAGAGGTTTCAATATTGCTGTTAATATTAGCTGCTGTCTTGTTCCACAGTTATCTTAATATGCTTACGATGATCTTATGTATTGGAACTTTAAGATTCATCGCTGAAAGTACTCTAACATATGCAGTTTATGAATAAAGTTCTATATGCGAGAGAAGGCGCTAAAAATATAATGGATAGGACATTTGCAGATTTTCCTTGGCAGATTCGAGTTGAGGTGGATGGAGTTGAAATTGAGGTCCCTGAGGTGAGTCTGTTAAGCATAAATAACCTTTATTTTGGTTCACATTTCTCTTTCTGGCATAGTTGCTCAAATTATTATTATTATTTTCATTTGCATGACCAACTCTAATTATATGATAAAGGTAGACAGTTAATTTTTAGAGCAAATTACCTACACTTTTAACCATCTCTACTTCTAGCATACTGAGTTCGTAACTACAAGTTTAAATTTGGCATTATGTTTCTAATATCCTTTCTGATGCCAGTATGGGGTTACTTTTTTGACAAATACTTAATGGAAGGGGCTGATTGTTGTGTAATAATTCAAAATGGGTTGTATTTGTAAGTTTTGAACAAAGGGGGCCTATTTAAGTTTGGGGGTGGGGAGGTGTAAGTAATTTACTCAAATTTTCATATCAGAACATCCTTTTTTAGTTTCTTATACACTGCAACCTTACCCCACCAAAAATAATGGCAAGTCCATTTGCTGAATTATTCTATTTGGTTTTCAATTCATTAAGGATGCAGAAGGCGTGCTTGTTGCGAATATTGGAAGCTACATGGGAGGTGTAGATTTGTGGCAAAATGAGGATGAAAATTATGATAATTTTGATCCACAATCTATGCATGATAAGGTACTTGAAGTTGTGAGCATATCTGGAACATGGCACCTCGGGAAGCTTCAGGTGAAATGAATTCTTAGTCCCCACATGATATGCAACTTTGGGATTTATGTCATGCTATATCTATTAAAGGGTCTATTACTTGAGATTTGATATTGATATAAAGAAAAGGCAGGAGATAACCTCTTTTTTTTTTTTTTTACTTTGTTCGAATTAAATCTAAAACTGTGGAACTAAGAACTAAAGCATGGAAGTGTGTGTGTTTAAGTCCTGTTTTGCACGGAGGTGGAACCACATCTCAGTTGTAATTAGTCTGTGATCTCTGATGCTTTTGACTTAGTTCAGTGTCCTATTTTATTTAAGTTTTCTTTGATGTTAAAAGGACACGCTTTTGATTAAGAAGGAGACATGATTTCTTTATCTAGATTGAGTTTTAGGTTTTTATTTGAACTATGAAATCATGGATGCTCAATTCCTCTTACATTGCCTTTGTCAAAACAGGTTGGACTTTCTCGAGCTCGAAGACTTGCACAAGGACAGTCAATTAAGGTACAATTGTTTGCTATGTTCCCTGTACAAATTGATGGAGAACCTTGGTTTCAGCAGCCCTGTACAATATCCGTAACCCATCATGGCCAGGTTATTATTCTAAAACTCCTCCACTGTGCATCACAAGTGGTACATCACCTACTTTGTGTTAACTATCACTTGCTTTATCTTACTTTGCATTTGATATCCTTATATCTGTATTTTCTTACACTTTATATAACCGGATTTCTACATGTTTTATAATCCTGTACAGACTGGCAGGGACATGTTTACCCATTTGTAATGATTTTCGTAATGAAAATGACCTCTGCCACTGAAATTCACAACTTCCATATATCTCAGGAAATGCTTGATGGTGCTAAGAATTTTTAGTATGATGGAACATGATCTTGTCTCATTTTTCTTCAATGTTTCTGTTTTCTGTTGCCCTTAAGTTATTGCCTTCTAACTGTTCAAACAACTAAATAAAATGCATCAACAACTGTTGGCTTATTGTCCTTTTTTGTGGTTGCGTAGGCCTTCATGTTGAAGAGGGCGGCTGAAGAACCTCTTGGTCATGCAGCTGCTATAATTGCCGATGTACTTGAGAATGCTGAAACAAAAAATGTAATTAATGCCTCACAAAAGCGAGCTCTTCTTCATGAAATGGCACTGAGGCTGTCCTAGAAAATTTGGCTTTGCACCCATTGAATATATTTTGCACGCTTCGTGTATTACTTTTCAGTTTCAAAACTCTTGTCTAAACTACCTGCTGCTTCTGAAGCAGGCTTGTATATTATATCAATCTTACACATCAAGAGAAAGAATGAAATCAGATAGCTTTTCAGTTGGTTTTGTCAAATTCCATTGGTGTTGGAACACATATAGCATGTACAGTAATTTGTACCATGAGCTGTGCATCAAGTGGCTTCCATCTTGCATGTCCATTTTTTTTATGTACTCCCTTGCGAGGAGAGGATTATTATTTTACGGATTCTAATGAAGGAAAAGATTACAAGTTGTCATAGATTTTATTGAACAAATAGTAAATAGTTGCAAAGTTGCAACTTTTTTCACCTGAGGTTATAGTATTACCTTTGCATAACGATTAGCGATTGACTCTTACTATCAACAGGAAGACCTTGTCAAATATGTTTGCTAGGATCGGTTTCATGCATTTTCCCGAGCAAACCTTCTTTAACCTTCAACCACAGACGTGTTACAAAGCCTTTTTCGCATGCTTGTTTGACTGATACTTGTGGGCCTAAAATTCTTCTTGGTGTCTTTGTGCTTTCTCTATAGATACGGTTCAGGTGACGTCGATAGAAAGGGGAGTTTAGGTGGAAGACACAAGCTGACGATGAGGCATTAGAGCCCTGAATGACCTTGCTAAGCTTGTATGTCATCTCTTGGTAAGCTGGTGAAGATGCATTTGAAGCCTGAATGGCCTCGTTGAGTTGTAAAGTCATCTGTCTGAACTCAAACGAGTCGTACAAGTCACTGCCATTGTACTGAAAGTTGAGTCTCCTTGAAGGAGCCACTGCTTCCTCTTTCTCTAAATTTTCCATGACTGAGGAAGGAATGGGTTAAATTTAGATCGCCATTAACCACTTCCAAATCATTCAGGCTTACTTTTCATTGTATTTTGGTATTAAAAACTCAGAATGTGTACTGTTCAAGAGAGGTGGAAGTTTGTTGCCTTGCATTGAAAGTAACGATAAGTATGTTTTTGGCAAGGTGATTGCAGTATTTTCTCCGTTTTTCTCGCCCCTTTGATATATATCGAAGCAACTAGGTCTATATAAAAATTCAATGACTTCCCCTATGTAACATCAGTTCAAAAGCTCAGGTGAGACGCTTCTCTACACTTCTATCAATGAGGCATACATAATCTTATATGGAATTGAAAATAATCTATTGGGTTAGCGTGTCTTTTACATTTAAAAGAGAACAAAATGATGGAGACCGACCGGGATATATTTACATATAACTTTTTGTTCATTTGTATATTATTGGAGAAGTGACGGTGTGTAGTATGAGTAGAAATTTTTCGAGTTGGGGTCATTATGTTTTAGTGATTTGTACCAATCCAAAGGATTAAGAATCTTAAGAACATTCACGATGATCAACATATATGAGTGCCAAAGAATACAGTCTGGACAGTCTTAATAGAAAATTGCACAAGTGCTTATTAGACTAGGGGAAAAAAAAAAAAAACCCCACGCTGTAAAATCGAAGTTTTTCAGTACGTTCGCAATCTTCAAATAAAGTAGTTATAGGTAGTTGTGCATAATTCAAGGTGAGAAGCATTCGTTTTCCATGTCCTCGTTTTTTTCTTCTCTCTCTCTTGCTGGGGTTGCTCTTTGTGAGATTTACACGGGCAACTAGTTTTATGGTTGAAAGCTATCTTGCACCCATGTCAACATGGGACACGAGACATGACAGGACATGTTAATACGTTAATTCTAAAAATTGTAAAGTTTTAACATGTTAAGACACGTTTTGATATTAAATATTATTTTTAATATATATAATATAATTTATATTTAATACATATAACAGTCCATAATAATTCATATAATCAATCTAATATTCAAATTCCATAACATAAAAATAAAGCAAAAATAATTTTTCATATTATGTCTAATTCCATAATAGAAAAAAATTGACTTACAAAATTAATTTTTTATTTTTAGTTAATAAAATAAAATTTAGACTTAAAAAAAAAATATGTATGTCGGAGCGTTGACCAGTGTCGGAAAAAGTTGATCGCATGTCGGAAACACGTGTCGGAGCGTTGACCATGTGTCTCAAAATATTAACCGTGTGTCAATTTCTGACACGTAAATTTTTTTAAAAATCACGTGTCAATGCTTTCTAGTAGGGGTGTCAATATGGGTTGACACGACACGAATTTGACACGACACGAATTCGACACGACACGAATACATCAACACGAACACGACACGAATTTTCATTCGTGTCAAAATCTTCAACACTGACACGACACGAATTTTTTGCGGGTTGACACGACACGATACGAATAACACGCAAAATAGGGGACAAAACGGTAATTAACAAAAAATTTTAAAAAATAGATCGAAAATAAATAAAAAATTAAAAAATAATAATAAAAAAATAAAAAAATAAAAAAAAAAAATAATACGGGTCGACACGAACACGAATTCATAAACACGAACACGACACGAATTTTTTGCGTGTCATTTTTTCCAACACGAACACGACACGAATTTTTTTACGGGTCAACCCGAACACGAATTTTCGTGTCGTGTCGCGGGTCGACCCGCGTGTCAAAACTCATATTGACACCCCTACTTTCTAGGTTGAAAGGATGAACTTAGATTGTGTTTTTCATGTAAATGGCACTCTGAAATGTAGGTTCACTATTAATATAAACAAAATTATATTAATTTTTCTCTCCATAGAGTTAGACATCGATATCCCACCAAAATCTAATATGATCCTTAGATCACTGGATTCGAACCCAATGAAATATGAATCAAATCCGCGCCCACCCTTATTCGCATAATCTTGTAAGTATTAATGGTAAAAATATTTGAATGAATCCACCTAAGCCACTTTTTGATGAAGTTTTAAAAAATGCAATTTCAAATTTTATCATACACTATCTTTTCCTGTTGTCTTTTCCCCTCCCCATGAATTTCTTGCGGCTATCCCCACAACCAGCTTTATGTCCTCCCTTGAATTGCGATTAAAAAATTTAAATATTATTATAGTTTTATTTAATCAAGAAAAATATTTCTGAAGTTATTGCAGATAAATTATCTGCATTTACTCTCAAAATGACGTCATTTTAGTGTTAAAATATTAAAAAATATAAGTATAAAGACTATTATAACCCTGAAATAAATTGAAATTACAAAAACACCTTGATTTACGCTTAAAACGATGTCAGTTTGAGCTCAATGCAGATAACTTATCTGCATTATTTGCAGAAAAAATGAACCCTTATTTAATTTATATATATATATTTTATTGATGATATATCTTATTTTATGTATACTAATAACATGAACGTAATATGCTGCAACATTTTTATAAATATGAATAACATAGTAATAAAAACATTTATTGGTATAAAAAATTTATCTAACTATAATTAAAATACAGTTAGAAAATATTTTCTAAAATAAGATAAAGATAAAGAAAAAACTTAAGAATATTTTTTTATTGTAAAAGAATCCAATTAACATATTAAAACAATTATAAATTTGTTTTCCAAAAAAAAAAACAATTATAATAAGTTTTTATTTAAGTTATGTATATAAATTTGAAAAATATATAAATATCATTATAAATAAATAAAACAAAATCAAATTGTATAATTATTAAATCTTAAATATGATTCTCTATATTATACTTTATGAGAAAAATGTATATCCTAATTGATTCCTAATTTTCTTATTTTAAATAAAAAGAGTACTTACTACGTGAACATCGAAAAATAGCTCCAAGCTTAATAGCACCGCTGATATCATTCAATAAGCATATATCATATCCCTTACATCCCCATCCCCATCAATAAATTTTCGGTGTTGAACTATTGGCATTGTTTGAAGTATCAACAAGCCAATTTGATTTTGATCTCTCGTCAAATCTTTATCTCCTAGTACTATTCAATCAACCTCATTGGCTTGGTTATGTCTGCATAAGCATGTATTCAGAAAAACTGCGGCAAAACCAAAGGGTTTCACGCGTCTCGTAGAAGTGAAATTTTTATTTATCAAGGAATAATAGATTACTGAAATATAATAGGAAATATATTTTGCTGGAATGTTATTAAAAAGTTGTTTGGTATGGCCAAATTTTTCTAGAATTTTGTGGTTTATTTTACTAAGTGTGTGTTTGGTTGATCGTGAAATATTAATGAGAATATAAAATTATTTTACTAAAATAACCCTATTTTTACTTTTTAATATTATATTCAACATTACCAAAAAGTAGGGTTATTATTGTCCACAATATTTTAGTTTTTTTTTACTTCTCGGGAAAACTAATATTTCATCTTCTGGATGGAGAAATTTAGTACCACTTTTCATACATGAATTGCAAAATCGGGCAACATTGTTTCTCAGGAAAAGTGTAATATTTTTGCTATCAAAAGTAGTCTTCCAATTCTCCATGCCTAGTTTTTCAAGGAACCTAAAAAGAATGTAGGTACCAAACACCCCCTAATAATATATACTTAATTCTGAGTAAGTACGGTTTTACGTTTAAGTTTTTGTAATTTTTTTTTTTTGAAAGAATTAGTTCCACCATAATATGAATATTTACGACTTAAACAAAATTGTCTTTTTTTTTTTGGAAATACAATGAAAATTAAAGCAACATCAAAAAAAGCCCTATACTGGGCACAATCTTGGGAGACTAACTCCCCTCAAGTCATTACGAAGCAATTTCAAACAAGCCGTTAGAGGGACATCCAGCACAATCAGCTGTCCATCCTGATGAGGTGCATGAGTAGCAAGCCAATCAGCAACAAAATTGCCTTCTCTATAAGTATGACTAAGCTGAATAATCCATTCTCTTTGAAGCATGCTACGAGCTCGGATGATTAAAGCAGAAAGAGGATGACTTACGTCACACCCTTTTCTTATAAATTCCAAAGCCACCTTGGAGTCACCCTCCACAAAGACTCTCCTAAATCCCTTATGCCAAGCCAGATCCATACCTGTCAAGAACCCCCAAATTTCCGCTGAAGTAGAAGTACCACTCCCAAGGAATTTTGTAAAACCAGTTAACCAGTTCCCAGCAGCATCCCTTATGACTCCACCACATGCAGTCCTTTGCCCACTGTCTATGCTGGAATCATCCACATTAAGTTTAACATAACCCTCAGAGGGAAAATTCCAGTGAATAAGACGTTCCTCTCTTCTAAGCTCCTGATGACCAATCTTAGTAAGGGTTTCATTAGCCAATTGAATATTACCACAAGTATAGGTAATGCGCCTAATGAGACCATACTTCGAGGTGATAGTTTGATCAAAGATCGCCTTATTTCTTTCCCCCCACAAACACCAAGCTATCACCCCAAAATACAAAGGCCAAGTTCGATCAGTTTGAAACGGACCTTTTAATCCTAGATTTGTCTGAATCCATAGGTGAAGATCCATGGAGAAAAAGTCACTACAGTTATCAGAAGGAACTCAATGCTCCCATAATTCCCTGGCACTAGGACAATCTCTAATGGCATGTAAACTATCCTCAAGATTATAATGACATCTCAGACACCCTGCATCTGTAGCCATGTGACGATGCACTCTATGAACATTAGTTAAAAGAGAACCTCTGTAGAGAAGCCATAAGAATTGTCTAATACGTTCAGGATCAGGCCAAGCCCAAATTACCTTCCAAATCCTATCCTGATGATAATGCGAGGTACCCAAGAGATAGTTATAAGCTGATTTCACTGAAAAAACCCCATCTTGGCTACCTGCCCAAATAACACGGTCCGGAGAAGGATCCACTGTAGGAGGGAGCACACTACGAATCTTGTCTAATACTAAAGTAGGAAGAAGGTGCTGAAATAAAGGCCAGTCCCAATTACCATAACAAGTTACAAATTGAGACGTAGACCAATGAGTCATAATAGGAGGAATAGGTTGAACGGCCAGAGAAACAAGTTGAGGACATCCTGGCACCCACGAATCCATCCAAAAAGACGTATGAACCCCATCCCCTAAAATGATACGAGAATTCTCTAGAGTTTGAGGCCAATACTTAACAATAGCCTTCCATAAACCAGAATCATTTGCGGAAGCCGAGATACTTGGAATGAGCATTTCCTCCACCTTATACTTGCTACGAAGGACCCGAACCCATAACGAATTACGATCAGTCATGATTCGGTGACCTAGCTTCATGATAAAAGCCATATTATTCTCTTTAATTTTACGAAAACCAAGCCCCCCTACATTCTTCGGCAAACAAACTGTCTCCCAAGAAACCAGGTGAGCTTTCCTTCGTTCAGAAGTTGATCCCGAAATGAAATTCCTAGTTACACTCTCAATACGATCACACGTACCACTAGGAATAATACAAGTTTGCATAGGATATTGAGGAATTGCAGTAAGAACTGACCTAGCCAAAGTTGATCTTCCTGCCAATGAAAGAGTACGTTGATTCCAGGCATTTAAACGAGCTTGCATCCGATTTAAGATATAGCCAAACGTACTCTTTGTAACACGGCTATGACGAAGAGGAACACCCAAGTATTTACCCAAGTCATTTGTAGGAGAGTAGCCCATCAACTAGCTTAGATTCTGCACTCGGGTATGATTAACGTTTCTGGATAAGAAGACTTTTGTTTTTTCCTTGCTAACCTTCTCACCAGAGCACCTGCAAAAACAATCAAGAATCTTATTAATAATAACAGCTTGCCCTTCTGTGGCTTCTGTAAAGAGCAGAAGATCATCTGCAAAAAATAGATGGGAAAGCAGTGGTCCCCTTCTATTCAATCTGATAGGCTTCCAAACGTCCTCTTGAACTGCTACATTAATCAAATGAGCAAGTCTTTCCATGCAAAGGATGAAAAGATAAGGAGACAAAGAATCTCCCTGACGAAGACCTTGATTAGGAGAAAATTCTGTCGTAGTTGTCTTCTACAAAGAATACTTATAATTTATCCAAAAGAAAAAGAAAAAGAAAAAGGAAAACCGGAGCTAGCTAATAGCGACACACTGATTGATGCGGTTCTTTTTTTTCATGGAATTGATTGATACATTCCCCCTTTATTTTTTTTCTACAATGTACAATGAATGGAGCACTCTGCACTCTTGGAATTTTTATGGTCAGTTTCACTTTTGACGAGAAAAAGAAAAAAGTTGATTAGTTTTGGTCCCTCGAAAACATGATAGACAAATCCATATAGATAAAATAAATAATAATATATAAATTATTTTATTTTATTTTTAATAAATAATATGCTAAATGTTCGGTACTACGAAAGTATCAAAAATGTTTTCATAAGTAAGTTAGAATTCGTTACATTTTTGTTGTTGTTGACACTATAATGGAGTTGTAAGACTCACAACTCATACGATAATTAGCTAATGCAGAGAATTTTTTTTTTACTAATAAAGAAAATTACAAAAGAAACTCCCAATAAAATTTTAAAAAATGATAATTTTACTAAAAAATGTAATTTTTTAATTTCACGATAGATATTTTAATTTTAATAAAAACATGGAATTCGTCAGCAACACATGATTTTGGTATACGTAGGTTATTTGACACATTTGTTTGACCAACCAATAGTAGATAATATATTTCATCACTTGTATCAAGAGTCATTAACTCAAAAGCAAAACTGAAACTCTAGTCAAGTTTGAGAATGAAACAAAAATAAAATAAAATAAAAAATATTATACCTGTATAAAAATTCACAATCAATAATTCTTTTTTAACTTTAAAGTATTTAAGGAGATTGTCTTCTTGCTTTACTGATTCACCTTCCACTCTAACAGCATCCTACCCCTCTTTGTTTCTTGTATTGTATCCCTTCACTTTGAAGACAGAGATATTTACAAATATAATATAAGGTACTTCTGGTTTTTCCTTTTTACTCTTATGATACTGCCTTCTCTATCCCACTCATCCATTATCTGTGAGTTTGCCTATATATGCATATGATCAAAAAGGATATTGTTACTTATTGTTGTTGTCTGAAACTAGTCTGGTTCAATTTTATTTTTCCTCAACTTGTAAATAAAATAAGGAGGTTTACATACTGAACTGAGTGAATGATCTGGCTCAATTCCTTGGTTATTTATATTTTCCAATAAGCATCTATATTACACAGTGCTTGTTACTGTGAGGATCTCATGCATACCCTGGTTGGATATGTTTCTTGTTCTAACCTCTAAGCATAACACACATACTAGCAAAATTTTAGGAATATGAAATTCTAGGAAAGGAAAATTTTGAATATGGTTTTCCAGGAAAAGGAAGGGTGACTTCTGTGTCAGTTACAATCTGTTAGAGATATATAAAATCATTAATGTAACATCACCCAACAGCTTAAGCTTTTGGGTTGAATTGGTTCTTTACATGGTATCAGAGCCTCGTGTCCCGGGTTCGATCTTTACCGTCCCTCACTTTCTTTCAAATGGAATTTCTTTATTCGCACAGGTAGGTGGGTCCGTGCATTGTCCATCCTTCAAGCTTAGTGGGCTCTCGTGTGAGGAGGCGTGTTGAGATATATAAAACCATTAATGTAGCCTCACCCAACAGCTTAAGCTTTTGGGTTGAATTGGTTCTTTACACAATCTATTCAATTTTTTTCTTCATCACTTTGTGTCATTTACAACTCTTTCTATTTTTTCTTCATCGCTTAGTCAACTGTAAATCACACCTTAACTCTATCAAATGAATTTTTATTTTTTATTTTTTGGCAATAAAAGGAGGGAAGACACTTATTTGTGTCTTAATGCATGCAAAAAAAATTTTGAGCTCAAATTGTAGTATCATACATGCTTCACAGGTTGTAATTTGTAACTAAATAAAATGGTCAAGATATGTGGAATTGGAGCTGGATACATAGGGGGTCCTACAATGGCTGTTTTTGCCCTCAAATGCCCCTCAATTGAAGTGGCTGTGGTTGACATCTCTCACTCTCGCATATCAGCTTGGAATAGCAAGAAACTCCCCATTTATGAGCCTGGCCTAGAAGAAGTGGTAAATCAGTGTAGAGGAAAGAATCTCCTCTTCAGCACAGATGTGGAAAAGCATGTGTATGAGGCAGACATAGTTTTTATTTCAGTGAACACCCCAACAAAAACTAGAGGGCTTGGAGCTGGCAAAGCCGCAGACTTGACTTATTGGGAGAGTGCAGCTAGGATGATAGCTGATGTTTCCAAGTCAAACAAGATTGTTGTTGAGAAATCTACTGTCCCAGTTAGAACAGCTGAGGCAGTTGAGAAAATTCTAATCCACAATAGCAAAGGCATCAAGTATCAAATTCTGTCAAATCCTGAGTTTCTTTCTGAGGGAACTGCCATTCAGGACCTTCTAAATCCTGATAGGGTTCTGATTGGAGGGAACCAAGGCCCTGAAGGTCAAGAGGCAATCCAAAAATTGAAGGATATATATGCTCATTGGGTGCCTGAAGATAGAATTATAACAACCAATCTCTGGTCAGCAGAACTCTCTAAGTTAGCTGACAATGCCTTCTTGGCACAAAGGATTTCATCTATCAATGCTATGTCAGCTCTATGTGAGGTCACTGGGGCAGAAGTTTCACAGGTTTCTCATGCACTCAGCAAAAACACCAAAATTGGGCCCAAATTCCTAAATGCTAGTGTTGGTTTTGGTGGCTCTTGCTTTCAAAAAGACATACTCAACTTGGTCTACATCTGTGAGAGTAATGGCCTCATTGAAGTGGCAAATTACTGGAAAGGAGTAATTAAGGTGAATGACTACCAAAAGAGTCGGTTTGTGAACAGGGTTGTAACCTCAATGTTCAATACAGTTTCAGGTAAGAAGATTGCAATTCTGGGGTTTGCCTTCAAGAAAAACACTAGTGACACTAGGAAAACTCCTGCAATTGATGTTTGCAAAGGTCTTTTGGGAGATAATGCATGCTTGAGCATATATGATCCCCAGGTTACTGAGGACCAGATTCAAGAAGATTTGTCACTGAATAAAGTTGAATTGGACCATCCAATCCACCTGCAGCCACAGCCAGTGAGTTTCACAAGTTTGAAACAGGTTAATATTGTTGGGGATGCCTATGAAGCAACTAAAGATGCTCATGGGATCTGCATTCTTACAGAGTGGGATGAGTTCAAGACAATTGATTATCAAAGAATATTTGATAATATGCAGAAACCAGCATTTGTTTTTGATGGTAGAAACATATTGAATGTTGACAAGATGAGGGAAATTGGATTCATTGTGTACTCAATTGGGAGGCCATTAGATCAGTGGCAGAAGAACATGCCTCAGCAGGCATGATGGGGTATATTCTCTCAAGGGAACAAATGCTGAAGAATATGAAATAAGCAGGACAATTTTTTCCTTTGTGAAATTTCACCCCTCTATGTTTAAGGATTTGTAGAGTTTCATTGCCCCCAACACTATGATGTGATTTGATGTGTTTTCCTAATATAATACGTAGGTATGAAAATTGCATTCTTCAGTGTTAGAAAATTATTCGGGTAAGCTCGGGCATTAATTGTTGCTGGCTCATATAAACTGTTCAAATAAAAAATGTCACTGCTTTTGAGGCTATATTGTTCGAGACAATTAAGACTATTATTTTGTATCAATGAAAGTGAATATCATGTTACATGAATGCAAAATATAAGGTCAGCAATTCATCAATTGCGAAATATTTTAGGTACACCAAAATCGCACCACTAACTCAATGCGACGAATCAATTAAAATAGAGTATTTTTATAATGTGTGTATAGAAAAAAGAGATTTTATTTTTTTAATTCTAGTGTCAATTTTTTAATGGAAGTCGTAGGTTCAGTATCGAAAATACTCTCCATCAATTGGTATGAGATTATTCCAACTTAATTAATGCTCTCGAGTTCAAATCCTTAAAATTAAAAATTGATTGAGAGAGTTTTGCCGCTTTTGTTAATTGATAAATTGATGAATAGTAGAAAAATCTAAATTAAAAAAATACAAAAACAAGATGTATAATACGTTAATGATAATTTACATACATTAGTTCAAAAATAAATTATAATACTTTAAATCAAAATAAATTAATTCATACAAGTATTTGATGATTTGTCTATCAAATTAGAAAATTCATACCATTATATAATATTAAAAAAATAACCCGTATAATGCAAAACGTGATGCGACTTGAGTTAAACTAGAAAAACTATAAGTATTATATGAATTTGGAAACTAATGATTGTTGAGTTAAACAACTAATGCTAAAAAAACACATATAAAAAACTTAGGTGATTTTTTGTGGAATTAAGAAAATTTTAGAAGTAAACTTGTAATCGATTAGAGCTAGAAGTGGAACATATGATTTTTAATTCACATAAATAAATGAATAAAAAAAAAAACTGAAATAGAATAATCACATTGACCCACAAAAATGAAAAGATAAACACAACTTCCTCTTATCTAGCGCCACGTGTCAGATTGTCCTTGCGCTAGACATGATCCAGAGTCTGCCGCCACCGCGAACCCGTTCCCACTGTCCAATATATATAGCGCTTTCGAACATTAGCCTCTGTCAAGACAGAAACAGAGCCAGGGCCATTTCTCGTAATTAACAAAAGACACGTGTCGTTTGTTTAGTTTATTCCTTTCTCGGACCAACCACTCGCCCAAAAAAAAAAAAGGAAAAAAAAGAGGTAACCCTAGGTTTGCACTTTTTCGATCTTAGTTTTTTTTTTCTTCCCCGATTCTGTCTCCAGTTTTGCTGCCAACTCTGCAATTATACAAGATTCGGTCAGTTCTCGATTTTCTGTATCGATTGATCCTAACTTTGGTCATTTCGGTGCTTGTTATTCGTTTCTAGGGTTAGGGTTCAAAATATTCTTTATCTGTCTTCTCCTCATCGGATCTGAGAAAAGCGTATGCTTTTTTTTCTTGATTTGGGTTCTGGGTTATTGTTTTGAACTGTTTTGTGTTTTCGGGATTTCAATCAGACGTGATTGTTTTTCGTTCTCGGTTAGGGATTGCTGAAATTGGGGGTTTTCTTGTTTTTGGGGAAATTTCAATTGAATCGAATAATTACTAATTAGGCTTCATTACTTACTTCCAATTCGAGCTTTTATTATGCGATTCAGAAATTTGTAATATAATTTGACAGGGACTAGTTAAATAGATTAATCAATTTTTTCATTATTTTTTTTTTGGCAATTTATTGAATTTTTTGGCACTTGGTCTTCTATTTTCACTTTCAGCACCCTGCATTTGTCAACTATTGTTTATTTACCAAATTGTCCTTACATATAATAATTGCTGAGTAGACTATCAAAACGGTGATTGGGCCCGGCCCAATCACCGTTTCAAGATATATTATCAATACTAAAATCTGAGATTCAGAGTTATTGTATAGTAATGATTGGAACACTAAAGAACTCAAGTTGTTTTGATCTTTGTTCGTTGTATAAATGTTTCGGGTTCTGATTTGATTGTTTAATTAAATCCTACCTCCTTAGGATCAGTTTGGAATGGTGTAGAAATTGCAGTAAAAAAATTCATGAATGAGTTTTTAATACAATTTAACAAATAAAATTGATCCATGAGATTTTTCTTGGATAGTGATAGATGCACATACTCATGCTTTCACACACAGCACATTCTGACTTTGACAAGCTTTTTTGTTGGCTCATGTGCTGAGCCTGCAAGGATGAGATATTCTTATATACTACTACACTTCCAAAACATAGCACGTAGACAGCATAACCATATATGCCTATAGATTAAATTTAAAATATTATTTAATAAATTTTAGATTGAATCTCAACTGTTGAGAGTATTACTCTGAAGTAGCTTAGAATTATTTCAGATTATTTGAGGGATTGAGCTTTATGTAAGATATATGAGAGCGTGCATCTATAGCTATCCTTTTTGTGTTTTTCTTTTATTGTAAGTATTTTGTAGACAAATGTTGTAACATGCCCTATCCCTCCTGCCTAATATTTTGCTTCTTAATTGCTCTTAACCATCTTAATGGTTGTTTTGATGCATTAATACTAAATATTTACTTTTATGCTTGAAGTGTGAGGCAAGCTTATTCTTTCCTGCAGGTAATCATGGTGCAGAAGCGTCCTTTTTATGCTGAGGAAATACTTGAGGTGTCCTTCAAACGCCCAAAAAAAGTGGGACCTAGTAATCAGCTTGTTTCATTTGAAAAATCTGTTTTTCCTGAGGATGCTTGCCATATTCCTAAAACATCAGGTGGGAATTTGAGGCCCAACATAAGAAAAAAAGTTAAGAATCAACTGTGCAATTTGAAAATCAAAGAATATGCTTCCAAAGTTATTGATGGATTAAACTTTGGAGGCAATGCCTGTGATTCAACTCTGTTTTAGTAGTCAACCAACTGTGACCAAAAGATGGTGCTTTGGACTAGTTGAAGATGTCCTATTTTTATCCGTTTTATTTTGTCGTGGTTACTTTATATTCTGTGTTGGGCTTAGATTGTTAACTTGTACTTGTATATTTTTATTTTTATTAATATTTCTCTGTTAAGTTTTGGACCTATTCATCCATTATTGCTTGAACATGAAAATGTCTGATAATATGAAGAGGCATTTGAGTGGTACTTTCTTCCGACATCAGATTCTACCTATTAGGAGATGGTTAAATTGAAGTATATGATATTTTGCTTCTTTTATGATGTTTTTCATTTCAAAAATGCATTTTGACCCACTCTACTTCCTAATTTGTAGAGGGGGAATGCAGACAAGGTAGTAGTGAAGGTAGCTGATGATATTTTTGTTGAACAGATGAACTTCCCAGAGGAGCTGTGGAATTTGAAACAAGTTTTCCTGGAGGCATTTCTGTTTCTTCTTTAGCCACCAGTGGCACTAGTGAAAATGTCCAATCAGAACCATCTGTACATCCCCCTTTTGTGCCTGAGTATTTCAGTCCAGAGTGTCCAACGAGGACATTAGTTCGCTATGAGGACATCTATTCCATACTCTTTGAGCACCCTCCTCACAAACTTGTATCTGTTGGACCCAATCATCAAGCCGATGTTCCAGTGTGGGATTCCGGTGCCACTAGTAGACCAAATGCATCTGATGCCGTTGGAGATGAAAATGAAGAAAGACTGATAGGAACCTGTATAATCCCTATGCCTCAGATGGAATCATCTACCTATGATAATGAAGAAGTTGGAAAGGGAAGAACTGATTGTAGCTGTGAAGACAGGGGATCCGTGAGATGTGTCAGACAACATATAGTGGAAGCAAGAGAAGAACTTATGAAAACCATTGGGCATGACAAATTTGAGGAGTTGGGGCTCTCTGACATGGGAGAACAAGTGGCAGACAAATGGAGTGCAGAGGAAGAACAACTATTTCGTGAGGTTGTCTTCAATAATCCAGCAACCCTTGGCAAGACATTCTGGAACTATCTTTCCATTGCTTTTCCTTTGAAAACCAAAAAGGAGATAGTTAGTTACTACTTTAACGTGTTCATGCTTGGAAGGCGAGCCGAGCAGAACAGAAACGATCTATTGTTCATTGACACTGATGATGATGAATGGCAAGATGGTGATGGCAATGGAATTACAGCTCGAGAGGAAGATGAAGATTATGTTACTGAATCTCCTGTATATCAAGATGATGCTTGTCTTGCTAATTGTCATGAAAATGATATGCAAGATAATGATGAGTATGGCTCAGATGAAACATGTGCTGTTAATGAAACTGCAGATTTTACCGAGAGGAACATTGATGATGATTCAAAATATGATCCTTCAGAGATGCCTCAATTCATTGGTTTTCCTTCTCTTATCCAACCCCAGGATCATCAAACTGTTTGGCGAGAAAGGTTTGATGAAGAAGTTCAGGATGATTCATACACATCATGTGATGCAGGAGTTGCCTCACGGGAGAGCCAGATGAAGACTGAGAATGGTGATCATTGGCATGGTAATTATAATGGTGAATGCAACAGTTATAGCGATTGAAGAGGTTTTGGGAGGTTGAAGAAGGCAAATAAATGAGAAGACGCTGTGCTAGTATTTTGCTAGTTGGATTTTGCAATTATGGCGATTTGGGGAAAGATCTTCACCCAAGGCTGATGTATGATGAATCTCTGCTAGCACTCTTTGTTAAACGTAACTAATGTTCGACTTTTATTTTGTATTTTGTCATAATACTGAAAAAGGAGCCTTCATTGTAAAATAGTTTTTTGGAAGGTGATTTGGTTGCCTTTCAAGCTTCCATGTTCCAAGTCCTTTTAGAACTGTAAAATTTATATTCTTTAATTTTACCCTAGTTTCCAGGTCCTTTCAAGCTTCCATCTTGGATGTAAGAATATCCGATTTGGATTTCATGATATAATTTTGCATTTGTTAAATAATAAAAAAATTTACTCCAATATTTCCTTTCATTCATTTTGGGAGGAATTTAAGCTACCAGTTCTTCTTTTCTAATTTCAGTATTTATATGGAGAGCCTCTCTAATATCCGGCCTATAATCAAACAAATCTTATATACAATGGAAGCAACTACTTAGCTTAAATTAACTTTTCAAATACAATGGCTTGCCACTAGACCTCTTTCTTTCCCTCTCTTTATGAATGGTTTTAAAGACACTGATTGGGACTTGTTAACTTTTTCTCCTTGTTTCTCTTCTTTTTCTTAGGTTTCAGAGTGAGTTCCTTGTTTTGCTTAATTTGTGAAACAAAATTTTACAGCTATCAGAGGCGTCAAAAGAAACAAGGCCATGGAGTATTTCTATTTTCTTGTCCTCTTTTTTGTTCGGCACAAGACAAATTATTTTCTTTTTTTCTTTTCTTTTTTTCATTTGGGAATGAAGAAATCTTTTTTCTGTCATACTCACATAAAAGTAAGTAAATCTCGTTATAAAGAGAAGAGAAAAAAAAAATAGTGGAACTTACTCACTTTTATGTGAGTGTATCAGAAAAAAAAATTCTACTTCAAAATAGAAACATTAAACCCTTTCTTTTTTCTTTACCTTAATAGATTTTTTTTAATTAGAACGCTCGGATAATCAGAAGATTAAGATTAATACGATGCTGCTGCTGGATACCAAACTTTAGCTCCTTCTCATACTCTCCTAACTGGCAATAATGAGAGGTTATGGAATGCATGTTTGAAACAAAGTAACTCGGTAACCACTTTTCTGGAGAACAAGAATGTATGTTATGTAACGTGTTTTTCAGTCAATGATTCATTTGTAAATGTTCGATAAATATGTATATCCTTGTCGTGACTTAATATGAGTTATATCCCACTAACCAAAAATATTGACTAAAAAACATTTGTCCTGATTTAATGCTTAACACATTTACATTAGACTTGTCCAATGCGTACAATTAATATGATTATTACTTCTAGCACACGTTAACACTACAAATAAAATGTGTCAAATTCTCGAATTTGCCCAATTTATGTGCCTTCTTCACCTTTGGTTCCTATGTGTACGTGACTTTGATTAGGCCCAAATATCTTGGCAGGGGACATCTAGCTTTATTAGCAGTTAGTACTTTTTAGTTAAACCAATTGCACCAAAATACAAAGGGAGAAGTGGTTTTCTATACCAAACCATACTTTTCATAGGAAAGACGGGTAAATGACTGGTCCCACATTTATCACAAAACTTATTTTATTTCTCAAACAAAATTCACTTTTCTTACATGAAAATTTAATAATTCTTTGAGTATCCCCAAAGCATTTCTGGTGAGAACTTCCTCCCTAACACATGCACCATTATTACTTGTGTGAAGCAACACATGCACCTTTTAGCTACACATTCTATAATGGTGAAGGAAAATAAAAAAGAAAAAGAAATGAAGGCTGCTGTTTTACAAGTCTATGGTCTCATTTTTCAATACCTCTCTCATCATCCACCGTCATCTATTTTTAATTTGTCTTAGTGAGGACATTAACTCATTTTTTAACTGAACTTTTCTGAAAAGGAAATTGAGCTATAAGGTTCCAACTGCCAGAGAAAATACTATCTTGTGATTTGATTAGAGTTTATCATGCTTATACCAAATTAGTGTCTACTACTATCTAATCACCCACCAAAGAAAAAGAAAGCTCTACTTTCTTAGCATTTTAGAACTTCAATCACTGATATTTCAGCCACTTCTAATTAAACTGACTAATGAAAAATTGAAACCTCAGCAAAGTGGCTAAGATATCTATTACATCTTCAACCAACCTTTGTCTATTTTTTTTCCCTTTCTAATAATTACATGAAGAGGGTATCTTAAAAAACCAGGTTAAAACCCCAAGTGAATGTTAATAATGGAAAAAATTATAGGTAAAGAAAGGTTCAAAATCAAGTTCTTGACAGAAAGTTATATGCATTGAATTTACTTATGTATTTAGGCTATTGAGAATCATTTGAATTATTCTACTGTACATTATAAAACTTCATCAAGAGCAACCTTAGGGTAGCTAGAAATTAAGATTATTTACAGAAATTAATCAAGATCTATGATAAAAATAAAAGCTAAACCTAGTGGAAAAACAAAGCAAATCTAAGCTCTGCCTAAACTCTAAAGCATATGTAAACCCCATCTGCCACCGACAACATTTATAGGACTTGATCACGGATAGCTAGCATAAACCTTAAGGGAGGCATCTTACACTAAATACACAAAGAGTCTATAGAGTGGAACACAAATAGTGACTATTGAGTGTGTCAAATCTTTTTTCTAGTTGTATATTTGGAAACCCAACAATCTTCCCTTTCAAGTGAAGCATTTGGGGGCACCACAGAGAGACTGACAGATACTAAACGCTTTAATGCTGTGTGAGTTCTGCCATAGATTTGGATGCTTGAAATTGCATCTCAATACAGCTTTACTTTAAGTGACTTATGCTCTATGTAAATTTAAGTTTCCATGTAGATTACCTTCATGATGTAATTTTTTCGTAGTGTTCTAATTTTATTTTATATTTTAACAATGGGGATATGCAAGTTTGAAGAATTTATGGCTTTCATCAAATTACTCAATTTTCTCACTAACCTACTCAGTAGTTTCTCAAACAACTTCAAAATGTGCTTATTTCTTCTCCAATCCAGCTATCCAAGACATAATTGAAGCCAGTACATATTCTTAACAAAAAAAAATTAAAAAAGTGTAACGTATCATATATAGGATAAAAAATATGAAGTGCACATCCAGTGAAGGTGTAATAGCTGCTAGGCAAACAGCATACATTATGCGCATGCACGTGTTCCTTAAGTATAAAATTAATACATATGATAAAAAAGTTAATCATATTTTATTTTTATTATTTGAAAGTCTCATATTCTAATATTTAGCAACTCTATCCCTTTGCATATGAAACTTCTCTTTAGAGAATCATCCATTATAACAACAAAACGGAGAGAGAAAAAAAAAAGGGTGATAAGTATTGACAAATACAGCTCACCACTGTACTAAGTTGCCGGCAAAAAGGGTACAAATTGAGTGAAGTAATTAGAGTGAAGTTGTTCGAGTCATAACCCATAGCTACTAATAAGACATTCATGTTACGGTTACTGCAATGAACGTGGCCGGCTTGATCAATGAAAAAAAATTACCGGCACTTGTTGAGTCTTGACCCCCTTATAAGTTTTGCTATTATGCTGGCCAATCTATAAGGATATTATAATCAGCAATTCAACAATGAGCACGAACTAAGATCCAATGTACCCTTGTCTTAAAATAACAAAGCAGTCCCAATTCACAACGCTAGACAGCTTGTACTAATTGTTTATTCGGGGTATATCAAGGAATTATTATTGATGCCTAATCTAAGATGATATCTTAAAGTAATTAAGCTGTTAATCATATATAACTGCACCTACTTTTATATATAATTTATGAGATTAATATTTCTCATGTTGTAGGAGATAAATTTTATCTTTTACTCATAAAAAAAAATATGTGGGCTCCATCTCTTCTATTCATATAGTCCCACATGAGTCTCATATACTTTTATGTGTGTAGGAGATAAAATTATTTCTAACAATATGATTAGCATTAATTTAATAATTTATTAACCTTCTCTATATTGGAATTATTAGCTCAGATATGGTGTGCGTGTATTATACATAGAAACATGCATAATATAGACAATTGACACACTTATACACACATTTAAGTAGAAGCTAGTGATCAAATGCGAAGTTTTTTTTATTTTTTTTCATGCGAAGTTGTTAACAAGTAATAAGAATGTATTATCCCTTTTTCTCTATAGAATATTTCATATTTATGTAATAAATTTTTATATAATAATTCAACACAAAGATCGATACATGTATGATAGATAAAACACCACATATCAATTACATTCTGAGAGGAATTTGTGTACTTGATTGAGTCATCTTATCTACTGAGCGAAAAACCTTGATCTCACGACTAGAATCTTCCTCTCTATGACCTATTCCAAAATGACAGCCTTCTGCGATGGGAGCATGACGGCTCATGGGACTTAATCCCAATATAAATAGGCTAGAGAGCCTAAAAAGAGTTTGTGTCCACTGGGTCCACCCATCAAGAAAAACCAAGGTCACACTAAAGCCTATTCTGCTTCCCAACTAGGCCCCATACCAATAGATGCCAAAAGTCGAACTCAACATGATCACAACGGACTTATCAAAATAATACAATTGGAATATTCATTAACCCGATTAACTTATAAAAAATAAAAATAATTAATTAATATTGACCACATAAACAAAAATTTCTAACAATTTACTCCTTATTTAAAACGGTGATGAATTATTAGGAAAAAGTGTATAGAAATACGTTCAATTTTATTCATTATGTGGATAATCCTACATATAATTAAGAACAAAAATTAGCTCATTTTGTGACTTGATTTGTCAAAGCTTAACCCAATTAGATTGTGAGGCTTGCATGAATTCATTAGTAATTTGTCATTTTACATTTTTAAAATCAATTTTAACGTATAAAGAGTGTGAAGATATGAATGTTTGAAACTTGTTAGAGGCAAATTCATTTAAAATAAGCACTTAAAATTATTTCTTACTTATCAATTATATATTTTATTATATTGTTTTTACACTATATATTAATTGTATAAAATTTTAGTTAACAACTTCCTTTATTTAGTTAACTGATTAACAGTTTTTTTTTTGTGAATAACTGATTAACAATTAATTACCATATATGGTGATCAATTATTAATTAGTTAAATAAATGATATGTATTGTTTATCAATAATTTATACATCATTCACCAATGTAAAACTGATATAAGAAAAGTGGTGTATGAATATCATATTGGTAAAATTGTATATTCTACAAGCGATTTAATTTCCTAATAAAAGTTGAGAATATATTTGAGTCTTATTGCAGATTACGTTAAAAATATAACAGACAA